GTTGCAAGACTCCAACCTCAGATTTTGTAGTTTACATTCTGGGTATTTTAAGGCTTCACATAATGATTTTATTCCATTATCCTCTATGTTACTCCCTTTCAGGTCAAGCTACAACAGATTCTGCTGGGAAGTCAAGAAACTAAAGGTGTCTTGATAGCCAAGAGGGAAAGAAACACATCTCAACAGGAGTTTTTGTAGTTTCCAGTTTAGATGCTTTAGTTCTTAACAAAAAAATATTCGTGATTAACTCATCAAAGTTGCTATGGCTCAAGTTGAATTCCATCAAGTGTTCATTTGTATTAAGCAAAGAAGAGATTTTGCCAGCAATGAGTAATGTGATCCAGTCCCCTGCAACAACTCCCCTTGGGCTGATCATGTGTACTGACGTGTGTTAGAACAATGATATTTCTTGCAGAACATGATTATGGATTGTTTCACTTAAAAAGTTCTTTAAAAAAACAGCAGTATAGCTTACTGAAATGAGTTATCAGCACATTTAGTAAGAACATGGGAGAACCTGCATCTTTATTTTTGGAATTTATGAGACAAATCCTTAACTCTGAAACAATAGAATGCTGTGGAGATGACAGTGGTCTCATGGAAGTAGAGAGAGCTCATGCATCACGGACAATGAGTATTAATGCTGCAGAGTTAAACAGCTTCTACAAAGCTAAGAAAGTCCAGAAAATTTGTTCCTTGAACTAGAGAAGCTTGTTTTGGAACATTCAAAAGATGATGACAATCTGGATTCTCTGTTGGACAATGTAGTTGGCCTTAAACAAATGCTGGAGTCATCAAGGTGACCCTTTATCTCTCTATGACCAGGATGTAGAACCAATGCTTTCTGCTCCGGAATCTCTCCAGAATCTGTTTAACAATTGGACTGCATATGTGCTCGCTGATGTCATGGATGATCAGTTGAAATCTATGTGGTTCATTCCATTTCAGGCTGAAGAGATCGGTACAGATCTGGATTTGGTAAAGGTCGATTTGACTGAACTTTCTGAAAATGCTGTAGTGACTTTGATCTGCACTCAGAATTAGAGCACTCATTTTTATCACAGCCATCATCTCCAGGGAGAACCAAGACTACTAAAGGATTCAAACTTGGGAAACACAAGCATGAGACCTTTATAACTTCAAGTGGAAAATCTGAATATATTAAACCTGCCAAACAAGCTCATGTTGTGCCACCACCAAGAGGAAGGGGCCGGAGAGGATTTGGACAGGGTATATGACCCCATGCTATTTTTGAGAGAAAACAGAACACAAGTAGACCACCTTCTGTGCATGGGTTATAGTCTGTTGTGGCTGAAAGTAAAGAAGTGGACCCCCAAGATGGGATAACTCTACTAAATCAGCCACTCAAAGTATCACAGATGATTTATTCTCATGGTATATTTTCAGGCAATTGAGGAGGACAAGGCGCTTTTCACAGTCAGAATAGGTTTTTTTACACCACCTGCTTCAAAAGGGAATTACGGTCATCAGGAGGGAACAAGAGGCTGCAACTGGAGCACCCAGAATACTCCTCGAGGCAACTACAACAGTAGTGGGGCGACTGAGCTTCTCAAGGTCATGGGGGACTCGGGCCTTCCTGGGCCAGCGCCAATAGTGGTAGTGGAGGCTCCCGAGGGAAGTTCATTAGTGGAGGCAGGGACCACACTAGTGGAGGTTAGTGGACCATAATGTATGGTCCTTCACATGATAAAATGCTCTCAGGGACATCAAGTGCATATGGACATTTCATAAGGACAATAAAAGTAAGACATCGAAGGAGTCTTAGCTATTATCTGGAGACATCTGAGAGAATATTTTTATCTGAAGAAAGCAGATTTTGTTTGATATCTAACATGAAATTTCAAAAAAAATCCAAACTTCGTATGTAAAAAAAAATTATATCCACAAAAAATTTTCACAACTGCACACTAATATAATTTCCAACCTTTTTTCTGTGCTGTGGTATACTAGGTATATGTACTATATAAGAATAATTCATCCATATATATTATAAAGTCCACAATTAAGTCTCATAATTTTTCATTAAAGTCACAGGGTTTAAATAAATTAAAATAAGAAAGGGGGAAACACAGCTTTTATGTTTATCTACATGCTCACCAAGTGCTCTTTATTCCTTTCATTACTTCTCTCCGATCTGAAGCAATTCCTTAGGCATGCCTTACAGTGCAGGTATGCTATCAAAAAGTTCTGTTTTAGTTTGCCTAGAAATGTTTTTATTTTGCATTTAATTTTAAATTATAGTTTCACTGAATATAAAATTCTTGGTTGACAAGTTCATTTTTCCATAATTTTAAATGTTACTCCAGTGTCTTTTGGTGTTCACTGTTGAGTAAGAAAAAATATAAACTGTATTTCTGTTCCCTTATGTCTGATGTGGTTTCTTTTTTCAAGATTTTCTCTTTATCTGTAGCTTTGAGCAGTTGCACTAAGATATTCCTAGGTATGGATTTTTATTTTTGTGTGTTTATATTCTGAGAATTTGATGAAATTTCTTGGATCCATTAATATTCTTCACCAAACATGAGAGATTTCAATCATTTCTTTCATGGAATATTTGTTTCTACTTTTTTCTTTTTCTCTTCTCATCCTCTGCGATGCCAATTATACCTATACCTATTAGAGTGTTTGATACTGTCCCACAAGTTTCTGAGCTCTGCGCACCTCCGAATGGACTAAGCAATAACTTCATGGCTATGACACCAAGGGTCCAGGCATCAGGGCAAAACCAGACAAACAGGACTACCCCAAATTTAAACATTTTGGTGCATCGAAAAACGCCTTCTTCAGGAATATCTGCATGATTTTGCTGCTCAAGCTGAGCAGGGTAAGATTAATATAAGCCAGTTGTTACCTGGCTGGTCATTTTCCAGTCGTCCCTTTTAAGTGTTGAGGCTAATAATTAATAGTTTTATTCTTATTTCCAATGGAAACGAATTGCCTAACATCCTCACTCAATTATCACAGGATATATTAGGGGTTTTGGGAGGTTTTTTTGAAACAGTCTTGCTTTTTAGTTCAGACTGTCCTTAAACTCACTATGTAGCCCAGGCTGGCCTCAAATTCATGGAGATCCTCCTGCCTCAGTCTCCCAAGTGCTAGGATTACAGGTATGCACCACCAAACTTGGCTCTGGGATATAGTAGTAAGGCTAAGCCCAAACAGATTTATTTTCTTGCTTGCTTGCTTGCTTTTTGGTACTGAGGATCAAACTCGGGACCCTGCACTTGTGAGGCAGGTGGTGAAATCACTGAGCTAAATACCCAGCCCCCAAAAGGATTTTCTAAGACAAACTAGATGTGGATACAAAACAAAGAGAGTAGTCAAGGACGACTGAGGTTTTTCATCTGAACAAACAGAAGAACAGAGTTATCGCCAAAATGAGACAACTATGAGAAGAAAAGGTAAGTAAGAGAAGGTCTGGAATTCAATTTTGATATGTTACACTTGAGATATCTACTAGACACTCAAGTAAATACAATCATGGTGTTTGGGAGAATGATACCTTTATTGGTAGAATAAACCAGGCTCCCTCAAAAGCTCAGTTTGAATTAATCCTAGATAAGAAAGAAATGGTTCAGCAACACCTGTCATCAAAGTTCAGGGAAGAAAAAGTTCACTGAGCCATAGGATGAACGAAGAAAAGGGACTTGAAAGATGAGCTTAATTGTGAAAGAAGACCTTATGCAAAGGGACAAAGAAAGGAAAAATAGAAGAGCAGGAGGAGAAAGGGAAGTGAAAAGTTTCTCTAAAAACAAGAATAGAAGATTGCTGAACAGCAGGCTTAGGCAAAATACGATAAAAACAAACCAATGACCCTAATGTCCATGTAGCATATATAAGTGACTACCTGACTGATGATAACCAAAGAACAGAAACAATGTAATTCTTTACCAAACTACAGCATATTAGACTTTTTTTATTGTTAACTGATACTAAAATATAGATTAAAACATTACCAAAAAACATTTATATCCATGATTTCATGTAACACACTCACAGCTCTTTGAAAACACACTAAAATCGAAAGTGGAGTTCAGTGGAATTCAGATAAAATAAAACATTGAAATATATCATAAGAGTCAAAGAAATTTGGCTGGGGGTTTGGCTCAGTGGTAGAATGCTTGTCTACAATGTGCAAGGCCATAGGTTTGATCCCCAGTACTGCTAAAAACAACCAACCTAAAGTCAATAAAAGATACATATCACTATAGGGACAAGATTTTAGCTGTGTTTGGGGGAATTATTTTCTTTGATGAGATTAAAAGGGAGACAGAAAGGGCCAGGAATTCAGCTCAGTGGCACCCATGCCTGCCTCACAAGTGCAAGGTCCTGAGTTCAATCCCCAGTAAGAAAAAAAAGGGTGGGGGCAGAAAATGTAACATGGAAAGCAAGAAATAAAGATCCTATGGTATATTAGCACAAACACTAGGTAGAAAGGAAGGGAAGGAGCTAAACAAATTCTAAAACCAAGGGTGGGGTATGTGCCTACAGTCTGAACTACTCAGGAGTCTAAGGCATTAAGATAACTAGAGCACAGGCTATTGGGCCAGTCTGGGCAACACAGCGAGACCTGGTCAAAAGAAGGAAGGTAAGAAGGCAGGGGAGAAAAGGGAGAAGAAGAAAGGGAGGGAGGGAGGGAGGGAATTCTAATATAGTGGACAGGATACTACCTGGATCTAGAATTGTGAGACCAATTCATAATTACTGTATTAAAAAGAAAAGCGATTTGTTCAACACCTCACTTTTTTTTTAATCTGCATTTGCCCGAGGATTTTGATGACAATAAAAATGCATGCAAAACAGATTTAAAAAGATATATCAGGCAAATGGATGGCAAAATTAGTAACATACAAATCGTAAGTACTTTGTTATATATACTTATAAGCCAAGTAAATTTTCCACGCTGCTTCTGTTAACTTACTATATTATAATTTACAATTACAAATTTATTGATGGGAATAATAATTATTATACTTTACCTTTGCAGTCAGAAGAAGAGCTAAAAGAAGGGTTCCTATTACTAGCAAAAATATGATGAAAATGCTAATTATTTTATCTAACATCTTCTCCAACCAGATGATCATCTGCACAGAAATGAAAAAGAAAATTACTTATCCCTAAAGTACAACTTAATAAACATGCACAAGCACAGAGTCAAATATAACAAAGACAAAAAAGAATGTTCAGCTTTGCAAAGCAAACTGACATACTATTTGAAGCAGTAAAAGCCATAAGCAACTTTAGAAAATTAACTAATACTATTAACTATTGCTGTTATTTTATGAAGAGTTCATTATTGTCATATCTAAGGGAATAAATTAGGCTGTATGTCTGAATTATCATACTGTTCTCTATCTACAATTTTAATCATACTTCAAAACTCACTGGAAATTCTATACAAAATAATGACAATCCAATAGCTGACCTAAGATGTCATGAAGTTGTACTCAAGTGGCAAATACAGATGACTCTGGAAGGAGCATGTATCTCATAAATACAAGTGTGTTCTAAATTATACAGATTCAGTTGGAGCAAATTAAAATATGTAATAATTACATTCAAAATGTTTTCCTTTGATTTCATTAAGGTTATAAAAGAGAGTAATAATAAAAATTTAATGTTAAGGCAATGATAGCAAATTCAGAATAACTATTACCTGGGAAAAGACACAAGATGCTGGGAGATAGATGTTCAAGTGGGTAATTATTGAGGTAGTTTTATCACACTGGGGGACAGGCAAATTATATGTAAAATATTTCATAAAACTTTTTTTTTTGTTTTTTGAGACAGGGTCTCACTATGTATTTGAGACTGACCTGGAACTCACTAGAGGTAGCCCAGGCTGGGCTTGAACTCACAGCGATCCTCCTGCCTCAACCTCCCAAGTGCTGGGATTACAGGAGTGAGCCACCATACCCAGCTTCATAAAACTTTTATAAAAGTCTGATATCTCACTTAAAGCTTCTACTCTTTTGAAAACATAAGTACCATGACATAATTGTAATTAAGCAAATATAAATTAACCAATCTGGTACTTGTTCCTTAATCAATAATTAAAGCTATACTATCCCTATATGCTATGTGATATTCTATCCTGACTGTACCTTCCTTCATCTTTCACAACCACAATAATCCTACATTTGAAACAACTTTGTTTTCACAATATATAGTAATTCCGATAGATGTCTATGCCATGTAAAGCATCTAGTATTTTGAAACTATACTTAAAGAAATGAATAGTTGCTAAGAGACCACATTGCACCATATCATTCCCAACACGAGCTACAGCACTGCAAAGTTATACTTTTTTTGTACTGGGGATAGAACTCAGGTCCTTGCACTTGCAAGGCAGGTGGCAGCACCACTAATCCCCAGCCCTTCAAAGTTATTCTTAATTTAAATCTAAATTGTGTTCTCCAAGTAGTGAGCTAAACATCTAAGATAAAAGAATATTTGTTTTTTTAAAACCACCATGATTTCAAAAACATTTATTTTCCATTCAATGTTTATCAGTCCATTGTCCCACTTATCTTTCATGAAGGACAATGTCACTAAGAAACCAATGGCACAGAAAAATGATAAGTTTACCTGTAATCTTGACAATTAGAGCAAAGGGAAGAGTTAATTTTCAGTACATGCTACCAAAGCATCAAAGACAATGAAGAGATTAAATAAAGGAATAACAGATTTCTAAGATATGGAAGGTCAGACATTTTATTTTTGAAGATATTTCTAAAATCAATGAAATGAAAATTTTCACAATAGGAAACCAGCTAAACATCTGGTTTTGGAGAGCTCTTCCTGAGGAAACAGCTGGAGTGGCATCATTCCTCTTTGTATTTCCAGAACCTAACTGTATCTGGCACACAGTAAGCATTCAGTTAATACTATACATTTAAATAAGCAAGCATAAAGGTATTTCAGAATTAAGACTAGATTTGTATCCACAAATAAAAATTTATTTCTGAAAATAACATAAGAGGTTATGGTTTTTGTTGTTGGCTTTAAAAAAGTCATATCCTGAAATATATTTTTAAATGAAAATGGTGCTCTATTTACAAAGTATGTAGATCTAACTTTACCTCTGGGTAATTTTAATATATAAACAGGGAATACCCAAAAGCATGTTGTGTACATTAACATGAAATAATGAAACTTTATTCTCAAACTAGGACAGAATTTCCTCCCAAATCCTATTTTGTCCCTAATTATGTATGACATACTTGCTTAGGGTACTGGACACCCTTTATCAGTCTAACCTGCTGTATATCCAGGGGCTGTAGTATCAAGGGTTAACAGTAAGAGTCACATGTCTCATTAAAAATTAAAATCACTTAAGATATTCAGTGCATAAGCTAAAAAGTTATTTTTTTTAACCCACATTGTGGGTAGCTAAAAAATAAGCTAAGAACAGGGTGAGAAGGGAGACAATAAAAGATTAAAATGTGGACAAAAATCTATTCAAGAATAAAAAAGAATGAGAAGTGGTGTATCCTACACCTATAATCCAGCTCCTTGGGAGGAGGAGGCAAAAAAGATCTCTCAAGTCTGAGGCCAGCCTGGGCAATTTAGTAAGATGTCAAAACAAAATAAAAATGGCTGTGGAATACTGCTCAGTGTTGGAGCACTTGCCTAGCATGCCCAAGATCCTGTGTTCAATCCTCAAAACCAATAAACAAAAATCAAAAGAATAAAAGGGAACAGAGAAAGTCAAGAGAAGAGAAAAAAGACTGGAGGATACATTAAACTAAGGACCAACAGAGAAGATAAAACAGAAGAAACTTAGGAAGAAGAAAAGAATCAAACCTCCGAAAGAATGAATGTAACAGTACCAAGAAACAGAAACTCAGAAACATGGAGAAAGACACAGAGAAAGTGACCAGAGAAAAGAATTTCTCAAAAATTCCAGAGATGTCACCCAGGAGGCTGCCCCATGTTCTGCTTTGCGCAAGAAACCAAACTACCCGCTGCCACTACCTGGCTTGCGGAAACTGCACATGGTCTCTAGCAAATCCCCTAGTCTTTCCAGGTTGTTTTCTTTTTTAAAAGAAAAAAAAGAAAAAAAGGAGTAATTTTAAAACAACATGCTAAAATTTCCCAATGTGAATGAAGGGCATACATTTTTTCTTTAAGTATAGAAATGTCTGTAAATTTATAATTATAACCAAAGTCAGGATAAAACTCCTAAACTGAACAAATTCTCTCATCAAGCTATTAAAAAAGCATCACTCATTCAAGCTGCATATTAGGCACAGTGGCACTGCCTGTAAGCACAGATACTTGGAAGGATGATGACACTGGAGGATACCAAGTTTAAGGCCAGCCTAAACAACAAAGTAAGACCCTCACCTCAAAAAACAAAAAGAAAGTATCATTACACTACTGAGTTTCTCTTCTAGTTTACTATTCCGGGCCTAAAGTTTTTCATATTACATTTTTGTTGTTGTTGTTTTGGTTTTTTGTTGTTGATGTTGTTTTGGTTTTTTCGGGTTTTTTGTTGTTGTTTGTCTTTTTTTGTTGTTGTTGGTTTTTTTTGCAGAACTGGGGATCAAACTCAGGACCTTGCACTTGCAAGGTAGGCACAGTGCCACTGAGCTAAATCTCTGGCCCATAGGGGGTTATTTTTTTAACCAAAATCTAGTTGAGTCTTAGCACAAATAGTCATAATAAATAAAATAAGGCCTGAGAAGCATTATATTTCAATGAAACATAAGATGAATACTCTCATACCTTCTCTTCTTGTGACAGATTTGCTAATTCACTCCACTTGAATGTTTTACATAACCAATGTAAATTAACCAATGTTGCAATTTTTTTACCCTGGATTTAATGTAATAAAACAGTTCTCAACTTATTTTTATGCTTTCCTGAAACACATACTCAAAATTTCAAGCAGTTACTCTTACCCTAAACTAATGTTTTATGTATGCTTCACAAAATTATAAAGAAAAAAGTTATCTGATCCTTTAGGAATATTAAATTATCTCAATTATTCAGCTTTGAATTAGGCCCACAAATTATGTTATCTAATTCATTTAGTCCTCTTTTGAGTACAATTTCATTTCAAAACACACCAATTGGAGAAATTTACAGAATCATCTACTTTGATCTAAGTAAGAATATGTGACTTATGGTTACACATCATTTGTCAAAGATTAAATTCATTTACTCATACTAGTCCTATAGGGAAGGGAAGTATATACACAACCATGTGTATTTGGGATGCAGAAACAGTATAGAGTGCTAGATTTTACACACTGCTTATTTTCAACTCAAAATTTTAACTTCAAGCATCTCCCATCTCCAAGCCTCCCCTTTCCTCCATTTTAACAGAAAGAAAGAGGGGGAGGGAGGAAGGAGGGAGGGAGGGAGGGAGAATCCTAATCTCTACATTCAAGGGTATGATTCTTGCTGGATGTGGTGGCACACACTTGTAATTCCAGCACTCAGGAAGCAAAGGAGAATCACTGCAAATTCAAGGCCAGCCTGAACTACTTTTTGGAGACCCTGTCTCCAAAAAGAAAAAAAAGTCTGATTCTGATTTGCATATTTTCCCAGGAATGGTGGTACACACCACCATTTGGGTGGCTAAGACAGGAAGAACCCAAGTTTGAGCCCAGTCTGGGCAACTCAGCAAGACTTTGTCTCAAAATAAAACATAAAAAAGGGCTAGGAATATAGCTAAGTGCAAAGATCCTGGATTCAGTCTCTAGTATATATTTTTTTTAAAAAGTTACATCTTTCTGAAGGACTGTTACATTTTCACTGAAGTCTTTTACAGTTTTATTATACTGAAGTACAAAACATATAAATTACGTCACCTCTTCTATCCTAAGGATTTACTGACATTACTTCAAACACTACTATATGTAGACTTTATGCCAAAGGTATATATCATTCCTAATGTATCTGGTGTAGCCTTCCTATAGTTTTTTGAAATGTAACTACAACAATCCCATGCCAATTATGGGAAGCAGTTACCACAGACTTGAGAAACACATGAAATTGGATGTCACAAGCACAGCTACAATCTTTAAGTTAAAAATAAAATTCTGCAATAAACTTATTTTTATAAAGAGAGATACAGGGCTGGGATTTAGCTCAGCGGTTCGGTGGCCTGCCTTGCAAGCGCAAGGACCGGAGTTCAATCCCCGGTCCCCAAAAAAAAAAGTCACCTTAGAAAGAGAGATACAAACAAAGGGAATTGCACAAATATTTCACACATTTGTCACTTTTTTTAAGTTTCTGTGTCATTTATACAAAAGGTAGGAATAAAGAGTTTTCTCTTTCCAGCAACTATCACTAATGTGATTTCACACATCAAACGAAATTATTAGCCTCCTTACAGAGCCGAAAAGGCATGGAAATAATTTACAGTGAACAGAAAGGTTATGAGACAGAACTCACAAACCCTTGAACAATGATATCATTTGTATCCTAAACAGCCTCTGTTGAGGATTGGCCAATTATACTATGATGGTATTCGGTATTTGTATTTCACAACCTTCCATAGCTTATCATTAGAACTTTAAAAACAAAAGTTTAGTTTGACATATGAAAACACACAGTAAGGAGGGAGATCTGGGGGGAGGGGGAAATAGGTTAGAGAATTCAGTAGTAAAAACCAAACATCCGTGTGCTCATTTACCTTCTTATTTAGCCAGTGCCAGAGCTTGAGGACAGGGGGTAAGAAAGAGAAGATAAGAACAGTGGAATATCATTAGAGAATGCAATAATAGTATGAAAAGAAAAGAAAGTCACTGAGAGCATGAGAAGGAAACTGTCAGGAAAAATGAGGGAGAAAACCATAAAGCATTAACAAAATTTTTAAATCAAGATAATCTAGTGCTTCTTTAGGACAAACAATGATTGAAATGATAATAACCACAAGCTTTTCTGGTGATCCAGAAAATTAAAAATACATAAAATAAACTGAATGTCCACAAGCTTAGTGTTTCTGCCACTGCACTGCCCATCTCCTGATCTTCTTGCCATGCCTCCCTCATAAGCTCCTCCCTGTGCCTTGCCTGGGCACCACTTCCTCGACAAAATCCCCTTTATCACTCACTACCTTATCCATCAGTCATTTCCTGCTTAATGTACCACTTTATCCTATATAATTTTCCTACATGAATTCTAACTGTTAACACTTATCCAGGGCTTACTGAGGGCCAGGAACTAATACAGGGATGTTACATACAATAACTCATTTAATTCTCACCATTATTCTATGAGGTAGGTGCCATTACACTCACTTTACTGATAAGGAAACCAAGGCACAGAAAAGTCATAATACCTGTTCAAAGATGGCTAGTAAGCAGCTGAACACCACCGAGCATCTGAGTTTTTATGAACTGCTGCCTGTCCACTAAATGGAGCTTCTTTACTTTGTTTCTGTGATTCATCTGATTGTATCACAGACTTAGCACAGTCTCTGACAAAGAGAAATTACTCCAAAAATATTCACTCACCCCCTAGTTACAAAATTTTAGGCAAGTCATTTAACCTTTCTGGATTTTAGTTTGATCCCAATAAAAACAAGGAGTCCAAGTAAGTGCTCTATAAGATAGTTTTTTCCCATTTTTAAGAGGAAAAACACACAATACTTATTTAAGCTGAATTCATTCGATGCTACATGGACCATAATTCTAACTTCAAAATTTCATCATAAAATTAGATAGTAAATATTTCAACAGACAAAAACCAAACACGATTTACCATGGAACGGAACATTTCAAACCACATAAATTGTTAAAGCAGCTCAACCTCTAAAAAATATGAAAACAAAACAAAAAAACTACAATACCTTGCTGTCAATTTTTAATAAGAATTTCCCAAGCCCAATGATTGGCCATGGTGCTAAAGCCTCTTGCCGCTCCTTCAGGAAGCACTCGATGACCTGCCACCATACATGGCAGCGTTTCTCCAAGAAGTCCACAACTCCAAAGTGAATAACAAGCTTTTTGATTATCCACACTATAAAGAGGATTGAAAAAATACACAGTTATATATCTATGCTTATAGATTATATATACACACACTGTATACACAGAAAAAAAATACAGATTAGAAAAGCATAACATAAAAAGGTTCCTTAATTTCCTTGGCAAAATAGTAAAAACAGTATTAAAGAATAGTGTTACAAAGGGAGGGGGAGGAGCTCAAGGTGTTCCGAACAGATGAAATCAGCCTACTAACTTTTCCCACAATGCCCACTACCCATCTACTGTCTTCTCTGTGGAACATGGATGCCTGCAGCAGGCAGGGGTTGCTTTACAGCCCACATAAGATGCTCACAACATGGCGATTTCAATGACTACAAGGCCCTCAAACCTTCCCCCTTCCTGAATAAAGAACACTAACCCTTGGCATTTCCTCTTCTCCTTGCCTATTACAGCCGTTTTTCCCAAATTTTGTTCTTTTCTTTAGATATCTGACATGTAGTGGTCAGAAGGGTCTAAGGTATTCCATTCCACATCATGATTTGAAAAGTAAGGATACCACATTTTCAGCTGTGTTCTCATTGCTTCCCTTCATATTTCTGTCAGTCTGAACAGACACCAGTTATGCAGAGAAGCCAGCAAAGCACAACAGGGCTGCTCCAAGTGGCCCTGAGGATGTGCACTGCACAATGCCAGCGGGGACCTTATAAAACCACAGTGAAGATGTCTCCCCCTGGAGGTGAGCAGCTATGGTGGCTCTTCAAGCAAGACTTGAGAGTCCTATTAAGGACCACTGAGGTGGAGGAGCCAGAGGAAGTGTTACTGATCTATTTGGAGTCTGGACCATAATAACTGCTCCCATCCACTATAATATCCCTAACTTCAGGGATTTGTGTCCTTAGCCCTGTACTTATAATCTTCAGGTTTACTTCAGTTTACTATTTTTAACCAAGAACTCAGTATTACATACCAGTTAAATAATTTTTTCACTTTTAAATCCCTAAAAAGGCTCTTGCTATTGAAGCCCATGGTATTAAAGGCTACAGAAAACTTTTGAGGGTCCAAACTTGTTTATAAACCTCCCCACCCAAACCTATCTCCAATTCTTTTGTTGACCAGTGGTTATGATAACACTAGGAAAACTGTAACTCCCACTAACAAACTTCAAGGAAAAGTGAGTTATAACAGAAACCAGCACGTGATTTGTCAAAAAGAAAACATTAGGCGAAACCAATCCAGAAGAATTTAAGCATTTCTATAAACTCCTTAACAGAAGTATGGCCATAATGTTTTCTGTGATTTGCTTAATTACTCTGTCTTGTTCCAAGTGCCTACCAGAAGTTCTGTATGGGGACATAAGGGGCAGATACAAACTTTGACCGTTTACACTGTATGTTCCCTGAGCACTATACAGTGCTCCAGTCAAAATAAAAGTTTAAAATAATAGCTATTTAATTAACTGGCCAATTCAATCAGACTAGTCAGTGGTGAAAACTAATGATCTAGAATAAGCAAATAAGTTTAGACTTGTTCATGTAATAGAAAACAGGTCTCCAAAGAAATCAAAATCTGTTTTAATAATGAAAATTCCTGACATAAGTGATTAGGACTAGTAAATTTAGGAGGTACATAGATGGCAGAATTTACAGTCTCCACTAAAGATGTGATATATTTGGCATAGACTTGACTGCAATATGAGGAAAGTACAAATAACCAGGAAAGTATTAAAAACAAGTGCTTCTATAATGCACCAGAGTCAAAGAAAGTCCTCACTCTTGTCACCCTTAGAAAATAGCTTCTGCAAAACTCAACACAACAGAGGGAGCCTTAAGAGGCCACGGTACAGTATTATGGTACAAACAGGAGTCGACTGAATGAGTTATGGAAAATCATGATTCCCTTGATATCACACAGGTTCTACATATGTACATCTGTATGTGTGCATGTATGTATATAATTTAATTGTTCTGACAAACAAAATTCAAGATTTTTCCATACACATATCCCAAAGCTTTCATTTCCTTTGGATCAAAAATGCAATGTAAAAGGTGTATCTCACAAGAGCAGCTCTCAAAATTCCACCATAAACCTCAAAACCTATACCGTACTGAAAACATTCTCCACTACAGAATCACGGACGAGGGGCAGTCAACTTTATATAGAGCTAACAACCTCAAATTCACATGAAATTATAAGAGGCTAAATATTTTCAAGCTGAAAAGTGATTTCTTTTTTTCTGTATTGGAGATTGAACCCATCACGCTGAGCTGTATCTCTAGCCCTTTTTTTTAGTATTTTTTATTTTGAGATAGTATCTCACTAAGCTGCCCTGGTTGGGCTCAAACTTGGGTGGGTTCCCTCTGCCTCAGCCTCCCAAAGTGCTGGGAATGCAGGCAAGTTTTACCACACCCAGCTGAAAAGTAAAATATTAAAGAATTATCAAAGTAATAAAATCTCCAGAATGTTTTTCAAGCATACAATTTTTCTATTAAGAATGATGTAAAATTCAAATACTAAAATCTAAAAGTAAAAATTGAAAAATTCTTTGAAGACAAGATCCAAATTAAACCAGACAATGACCTGCAATCGGTACAGGCAGCAACTGCACAATCCACAGGTTCAACCAGATCTGGACAACAATGATGGCCCAGACGAGGCACACAAAGTAGATGTCGCTGGTTTTCTTCTTTCTCAGAAATGATGTTCCAATCTCAGGCCTTTGTCTGCCCAGAGTAGGTGAAGGGGAGGAAGGGGAGGAAGGGGAGGAGGATGAAGAAGTGGACAGTGTCGGAGGGGATTCTCTCTTGTCTGTGGTTTCTGAAAAGTAAAATTAAAAAAACACATACCATATCAGTCCACATTAGGAAACAGTAATACAGAACAGCTGATTAGGCTACCCTACTTTAAGCCTTTCAAATGTATCCTGATAGTAAATGCGTAACATTATATTAGGTTAAAAGACAAAAATTTTTGTATCTACATTGAAAAACTTGTGGGTATATCACTGACAGCGCTTAAATCTAGAAAAATTAAGTTTGTGGGTACAGTGTTGGGAGACAGAATGCTTCACTTTTACACTTCATACTGTTCAAGTTTTCTGTGACTAGTATACACACATTTAACAAAATAAGACAAAAAGTAGCTAAGAACCATAACTAGCCATAAAAATTATGCAAAATATATAAAGCAACAAACATGTATACCAGAATTTCTCTACTGAAGAATTTTTTCTTTTTTCTGTTTGTTTTTGTGGTGCTAGCTATCGGGGCTGCACACATACTAGACAAGTACTCTACCATGAGCTATATTCCTAGCTCTCTTCCTCTTTTATCAGAATTTTAGGTATATATTAGGTATATTTACATATTAGGTATATTTTCATATTTTTCTGTTTCCTAATAATGCAACAATTTTGTTACGATTCAGTACAGTGTTCTATTATTTCTACTTTCTAGTTTTGACAAGCCATACCATATGCATCAGAAATCATGTGACTCTTAAGATAGTATTACTCTACATATACCTTGACAATGGGAATTTTTAAGATCCTAAAGCTTGCATTTTGGCTTCCATTCAAATAATTACAAAATTATATCCTATTTCAGAAAGTCTAGAAAAAGGAGAAAAGAAATGAATACAAATAATCCCAACTTGGAGGACTATTTGCTCCTGTCTTGCACGTAGTTTCAGAGCTGTATCATGTTCTACTTAGCCTTTTTCACTCTCTCCTTTCAGAAGAAAGTCAGCTCGAGAGCCAAGGTAAAACTTTGTCTTGTTCTCCCTCCACTGAATTCCTAGCACACAGAATGTTTCCAAACACTAAAAAGCTGTTGAATGAATGACTTTATTTTTCATAAGCAGCCCACAGTAGCTCACTGTGTGCTATATCATGAATTCCTTAATGTTTCTTTTAAGGTTAAATGTTTATCTGGGAGTAAATTTTTACTGCTGAGATACCACCTTGCATACTGGTAAGTCAGCTCATCACACTAGAACTAACATTCCATCTGGACGTTTGGAAATAAAGATCAAGCTAGTCATAACATGCTTTTTTTATTTTGCTGAGTATCTTTCTAATATGGAAACTCCACATGGGTGGGTGTGGCAGATATTTATAAGAATAACTCCATTACCTAAACATCATATTCTTTCCCTTTTTTTTTTTTTGGTACTGGAGATTGAACTTGGGTCCTTGTGCTTGCAAGGCAGGCAGTGGAACCAGAGCTAAATCCCCATTCCTCTTTCCATTTTTGAAACATGATTCAATATGCAAGAAATAGAAGTGGTCCTACTATTCCCATGCCTTTCTTCCTCCTAGATATCCCCTCCTTTAGGACATATCTAAGTCAACTCTTTAAGAAGGGCTCTTTATAAATATTCCCTAACCCCAAATACCTCTGAAACCAATGGATATCTCAGCATTGTCCAAGATGGTCATGCACATTTCTTAAACTCTGTGAGAAGTTGTTTTGACTCTAAAGTTGTTATAAATCTACCAGATGCATCTCAAAGGAGCCTGCAACTCCAAAAGCCAGGACAACACAACTAAAGGAGTCTCTTTTATGGAAACTGTCAATATATACTGTATGAGGCATGCAGTCAAACTTTCAGAGGAAATAGGAGAAAAAACATCAGAGAAATAACCAAAAATGGGAGGAAAGGCAGCCTTTCCCTTACAAAAAGAAGGGTAGAGAGGAAAAGAAAAAGCTACTTGAAGAGACAAAATGAAACAAGAAAGGGGAGCCAACAGTTATAGAAGAAATGGAAAATAAGAAATGAAGATAAGGAAAGCTTAAAATGGGAAGGAGACTGTGGAAAAGAAAAATAGTATGTGGGGCCAGGATTTAGCTCAGTGGTGTCACTGCCTGCCTCGCAAGTGCAAGGCTGAGTTCAATCCCTGGTACCAAAAAAAAAAAAAAAAAAAGAAAGATAGAAAAAGAAAAATAATAAAAAGAAATTTTAAAGAATTTTTAAAAGAGGAAAGGGAAAGAGCCAAGATAAGAAACCCAAGAAAGTAAATGTATGAAGAAATCAAAGATGAGGGGAAAAGGTACAAAAACAGTACTGGAGAAAAAAAATGAAGGGCCAGCAAGACTATGCAGCATTTTATGATGTTAGCACCCTTCTCAATTCTCTAGTCTTTATAACTCATCTTCCAAAACAACTCTAAATGCATTCATGATATGAGTCACCTGTAGGCTGAGGGGAGGTCTGGTCTTCACTGCCTGACTCATACCCCGTGATGGAGATGGCCAAGTTTGCTAGAGTAGAAGCTGCCATGGAGATTACTTGCCCTGGTAATTCTGCCCCTGTAAAAGAAGCACACATTTAAAAAACTTTTTAAAGCAAGTGAATAGAGCAGGAAGTACTACACTATTGCAAATATAACACAATCCTAAGCTTTCAAGAGCAATAGAATAAAAATGCTTATTTCTGACCACTGGACCAGGGGTTCTTCATTGAAGAAAAATGCTTGACAATCAGCAGAAAAGTCTGCCAAAAATATAAGTCCCAAGACTTTTTGTGGGTCTTCTTCATTTGGGAACTTAATGCTGCAAAGTGTGATGGATACCAGATGTACAAATCTAAAGTTCAAGGCTTGTATTTTTTTAACTTTACAAGTTGATTTTAATGTACACTTTTGTTGAGAATAATGAGAGCTCCTATTACTCTGCATTGTATCACTAGATTCTAGTTCAGCATGAAACAGCCCACATCTGGTGTTTGTGATTATCACATTCCATAAATGAACATGGAAATTCTTGAAAATAAAGAACATTATGACTCCGTTTCACGTTGTATGTTCTATCTTAAGTTCTAATACATAGTACCAAGCTTAATCGTTTGTGTTCAATTCAAGGAAAACATTTTCTGACAAGTGAAGTTGATTTGGAATGATCGGTCTTTGACCTGCTATAGCAGATATGAGTAGACTAACTCACACAATACTGGGTTCTAGTAGGTTTACTTGCACACGAGAGGCTGGAAACTGTATTGTTTAGACTCCCTTGCAGCAAAAGTCTCACATGTAACGTAGTTTGTATCAAGCAAGTCCACCTATGCAAGACTTGGATGACTGCATATCACACTATACTTTGAAAGTCGCACAGCTCTCACATCAGTCATGGGGGCATACGGTTTTTCTGTAGCAACCTGTAAGTCCCAGAGTCCCAATTTCTAACTCACAGAAAGCAGCAAGTCATGACCCTCTGCCCTTTGGTATCACTGAACATTTCTCCTAGCTGCACTGTTTCTGCCTGTATCAGAACCAAGCCTAGTTGTCTGATCTTTCCAACAACTGTACCTGCAAAATTCCTAAATGGTAACCAATACCTCATATTTACACCAGCTACACTAGATTTTACTGTCCACAACTTAAAAGCCCTGGCCATTCCCAGTCACCAAACCATATACCCACATTCATACAGCTGGGACCTTATTTTTGGTACTCCAATACTAGGTGTGACAACATACAATTCTGCCAAGCAAGTGAAAAGAGCCACAACACTGCAGAAAGGCGATACATTTTAGCTCCAAATTAACTCTGCATGCCCAAGAAATTCAAGGCTGGTCACCTATCAGAGATAAACAAGCCAGGACCTGAGACAGCTCTTTGGTAGATACAATTGTTCAGATCAAGAACGCTCACCTAGCTCAATCGTACTCTTTCCATCCACCAAAAATGTTCTTGTGACCGGAAAGAAGTTTACTGTGAGGCAATAGAAGAGAAATTCAAACTCACAGTCTGGGAAGAAAGCACAAGCCACGTATCTGGATTGGGACTTTATTTTCCAGTCTGCATATCCAAGGTCCTTAGGAGATACAAATAATGGAGCAAAGACCGACAGAGAAGGACAGTGTCTATCATGTTACATGTATTCATCACACACTGTACTGCATGCTGGGGACAAAGACAAAGAGCCAGCCCTCTAGAAACTCATGAAAGAGACAAATAAGAATTAAAGAACCATAAAAAAGTATGTCAACAAACTAGGATTTTATAAAGGACTTGGTATTTTGTGAGGTCCTAAAAGAACCAACCTCATTTAGTCTGGAGAATCAGAGAAGGTTTTTCCTTAGAAGCGAGTTGATATATGTAAGGGGCAAGAAGGAATTAACCAAAATATGTAAAATATAACCTCTGGGTGGAAGGAAAAAAGAATGGCTGGAGAAGAGCCTGACACTGAAAAGTCATGGTATCTGGAGTGCAGACAGTTGGTAACAAACTGATATCAGTCAAATAAACAGGGCCGAGAGGCAAGCCAGATGGTCCTGGGCACAGAAAACCATATTAAAGTCTTCAATCTTTATCCAAAGAAGAGCAGGCAAGCACAGGAGTTTTAAACAAGACAGAATAAACCTCCAGTTTAAAACCCCTGTCCCATGAAAATTCTATTGAGATAAATGGAGCTGCAGTTGTAAGAAAAAAAATCCCTGTGTACCCTTTACCTAGTTTCTCCAACTGGTAACATCTTATAAAACTGTTGTACAATATCACAATCAGGATATCATCAGATACAAGATCCTGACAGTGTCATCATTACAAGGATTCCTCTCATTACCTTTTTTATAATTGTATTCACCTGCTTTCCATCCTGTAAATCAATGCTCCATTTTGATATATAATAAGATTATTCTTATTTGATTGGAGAACATTCTACAAGAGACCAAGAGTGGGTTTGGGGAGATAAGTTATCACACAACTATAGGCAAAACATCAACCGAGTGGTTACAGTGGTTAACTGAAGACGTAGAAAAGTGGCTGGCTTCAAGAGACGAGGAGGGGCAAACCTGGAGCACATTCACTGAAGGTGACCAAGTGCTGACAGATAACGTGTAAGGGAACCAAGTGAAGATTTGGAGGACACTAAAACTATGTTGAGACTTCCAGACAGAAGTTTCACAAACTGACTAGAGTAGAGAGAGGGCAAGATAAGAGTCTCATTAGTGTGTCAAAAAGATCTCTTAGGTAGGCTCCACTCAAGGGCAAAAATTGGGAACAAGTAAAGGCCTAGGACAATGGAATAGACAGAAAAAGGAAAAAAACCCTTAATAGTTGAAATTTAAATCAGGCGTGGTAGCACATGCCTGTAATCTCATCATTGAGAGGCAGAGGCAGGAGGATCAACCTGAGTTTGTGAGTCCAAGGCCAGCCTTAGCTACAAAGTGAGTTAAAAAAAACAAAAAAAACAAAGTGAGTTCAAGCTAGCCTGCAATACTAAGCAAGACAATAATAAAAAAAATAAAAATTTAAAAGACAAAAGTGGCAGGTCCCTGAATGGGACCCCTGCCCAAGCCAACCCACTACCAGCATCCACAGGAGCACAGAGATGACAAGAAGCCAGCAGCCCCCCTGCTGCTCTCACCACCACCCTGTTTATCAGCCAGCCCCAGGCCCATGACCCATGGGATTCTAAACTTTGCCACCCTCTCAACCAGTGGCCCTTCCCTACCCAAACTGCCCCTATCAACTGCATACACTCTCCTCTCAGAGCCATTGGCCCATCTGTTGCTGAAATTCTGCATGCCTCAGTGGTCTCATTCGTGCTTCAGTCTGACCTTACAAAAGGACTAGTTAGTGGTCCTAAATTATTAAATAGCTCTCTTGACAAGCACTTAAATTTAAGTGGTGACTCACTTTTGAGGTACCCTGAAAAGTAGTGGTTTTTAAGTAGCTGCAAAATAACAAAATCATTTTATTGCTCTCCATATACAGACTTTCAGTTTGGCTGCATTTTTATTTAATATAGCTAAATACCCACATGGTAACTAGTACATATGCTGAGATAAGAGACTAAGATGCTAGCTTCAAGTTCAGTGCAATGGTAAAAATTTGGTCACAATTTGGTATGTTAAGAGCTAATGTAAAGTAAGTGTGGAATGCAGCCCAGAAGCTGAGGCAGAAGAATGGATCACTGTGAGTTTGAACTCAGCCTGGGCTACATAGTAAGCCTGTCTTTTAAAAAAATAAAACAATTAAAATAAAGACTAACTCTCCAATTTGCTGATATCACTGAACTATACAATAAATGTTCAGTAACTCTTAGCTAAATCAAGGAACATTACACAATATCATTCTAGTTAATATACATATGATTCAGCAAACTTTTAGAATGCCTCAAACTTCGTAAAAGTATGAAAAAAGGAGCAGAGAAAATCAAAGATTTAAAAATTAGGATATAAGAAGGCCTAGCAACTGCTCTTATCAAACACACACACATTTGAATGACTTTTGTCTTTGGGGTATCTTTCAGCACTTCAAAGGCCCCAAAGGTCTAGACAGAAGAATGCCAGGACCATAATTCTAGGCAAGGTCAATACTAAATTAAAAAGTCCCAGCTAAAAATAGACATATAAATAAGCGAACATAATCTTGGGCTCAAGGACTAAAAACAAAAAAAGGAAAGAACACGAAGGGTTTCAAGTATCAATTTCCCCAGGGACAGGAGCAGTATGAAGTAGGAGATCTATTTAAATCCAAACAAACAGGCCACTGAACAGGTCAAAAACCCAGAGTCGGACACATAGAAATGGATGATACATTCAGATTACAACTAACTCAATAATGGGCACAGTAATTTTTTTAAAATCACAGAAAATAAGTTGTGAAGCTCATCTAAATAAGGAAGTTCTTCTTGTTCTACTCTATTCTTTTTCACAAGGACAGTGGTAGTTGCCAAAAACACATCTAAAGATGCTTGCTGGAAGGAGGCACTACATACCAAGTTAAGCCTCCCCAGTTTGCAAAGTTCCCTTTTGAAGATAGCTTCTGTTTCCAACACTAACATGTAAAATAAATTTTCCTCACAATCCCTTCTAGCATCACTTCAGGCAGGCCTGGATATGGACCAGAAGTTTCTCTAGGCCAACTTATCTAACAGAACCATAATTGGAGAATATGAGAGGACGATACTCCCTTATTTTTACCAATTTGGGCTTAACTGGACAAAACTTGTACACTCATATCACAAGCTATCCTAAATGATGAGGGCAACTTCCAGGCCTTCCCTGCACAGGTACTTCTGGTCACTTACAAACAATTACTGATATCGGGAAGAACAGCAGGAGCTGTGCAGGCTGGGTGTCCAGGCTACTAACGTACATCTGACACAGTTTCCCTTACTTTTGAAAAAATTCCTTATGCTCAGAGCATAGAGCTCTCTGACCCTGTTTTTTCACCTGTAAAACAAGTATAATACCAATCTCACGGATTGCTAAAAAGATTTAAAATTAAAATTTAAAATACCTACACAGGATGACACGTTAAGGAGCCAACAGTGCCTCTTCATTATGCTAGTGTTCCTTTTCT